TTCTTCCTTCCACAATCCTCTGTACGATAGGATATTTGAATTCGGGCCTATAACATACGAGACCATTGTCTTTCAAACAACACCATGAATGCTCACAGTAAGTGAGCAACAAATTATTCGGCCAAATTTTTTGCCTGAAACGATTTGCGTATTTGTGGCTTTAGGTTTGTATGTATTAACTCTATCTATAAATCCAACAATATATTTGTAACTCATCTTCTATGTACTTTTACTTGAATAAACATTTTGATTTCTTTGAGTTTTGAAGTAATGGTCTCAGAGGTACCCAACTGGGTCTCTAACTGAGACTTTAAACCCTACCTGGAGCATCGCTATGTCTTCTGGAAGTAATCCACCCCTTCATCCATGTCATGTTAGATACCAACCACATTAGACTGTTTAATATAATTTCATTCACTTGGATGTTCTGTCTCCTTTGAGGCCCGAGTTAGAATCTCTGATAATCCATGAGAAATAGGTGTTTTTATCCACGCTTTTGTTGATTTTGTGTGCACTAAGCAGTCATCAACAACTTTATAGATGATTATGTAAAAAAATTAAATGAATTTAATTTGTTCAATGTCCTGAATGCAAAGAATCCTGCTAGTGATAATAATGTATGGTAAACATGAGCTTGTCAATTGCTCAATTTATTAATGTTAGATTAACATTGATAATCATATGATAATATACTTAGGATAACCATTATATACCTACAAAAAAGTGTTAAATCCTTTATAGTATGACGTGCAAAAAAAGTCTTTCTGTTGGACGTGTTGAGAGAATTTGTGTGTAAAACATTAGACAAAATAAATATATAAAGCTGAATTAGCAAGTACTTCTCTTCAGACCTACGACTTGCATTGATTGTACGACCATAATCTCTAAATAAATGATCAGACCTTTTTTATCTACTGATCTGTTGTTGTTAGAGTTTTTTAATCCTTGTAAAAGGTTTTAAAAAATTAAGATTTATTACTTTCTTACATGCGAAAGGAGGCGAAAAAGTGTAAGTAATTGAGGAAACATTGTCAATACCTGGTGTCAGTGTCAGTTGCAGTATCAAGATGAATACTATAGAAGATTGTCTCTTCTAAATGACAGGCAATGTTTGCACAATTCCGAAGGTACAAGGATAAGTTACTGGGGTGCAAGGGTGACGTTACTAGGCTACAAGGGTGACGTTACTAGGGTACAAGCGAGAGGGTGTTGCGGTACAAGGGTGAGATTGCTACAGCATCTGATAACTCTAAAAATACTGAACTATCGGTCATCGTAGCTGGAAACCGGCTCTCTCGGAGCAAATCTTCCACCATGAGTTTGCTGAAACACCTTTTAAAGCCTTTAATGATGCGTTCAATTACAGATCGTACGAAACTTCCATATTCAGCTTAAGCTCCAACTCATCAACAGTAAATAAACCCAATCAGAATCGAGATGTTTACACACTGGAGAGATACCTGATGACCGCGTCCAGGAGAAAGATATTTGCTTCCAGGAAGTATTATCCAATAAAAACGTGCAGGAAGCTTAGCGTGCACAGTCAGGCGGACGCACAGTCCCTCATGTGCGAAGATCATATCTCCTTCTGGTCCGAAATAGCTGACTTTGCGAGAACCTTGTTATTCACAGCGCCCTCGGATGGCTGTGATTTACGCGGTAAAATAGATAGCTGTCAGCAGAGTTAAACATGAAGTCAGGGGAAGCAAATATCTTTTCTAATCGGAACGTATAAGGGACTCAATGAGATATGCTTATTTAAGGCCATTTAAGAATTCTTATTATGCGACCAAGTTAGTTTCAGTGTCTGCACGTTCTCAATAAAATATTCGTATTAGGGAAGCTGTATATAGATATGCATATATGTATGTCTATATGCATGCACATTTATGTGTTTTTGTGGCATATTACCGCAAAAAATACTTCTATCACAGCATAAAGGGGAACATGTATACTCAAGTATACTGCGACAAAGAAAAATCTATCATACCTCTCATAACGTACATAGGAAGTATATCCAGCAAAATTGATTAAGTTATCAACTCCCTTTTAATTAAAATACATCGTCAAGCACTTCTCCAGAATATGTTGAACATTGAGAAACAACCAATTGGTATTGAACTGGGTCGTTATGTTGAATAAATAATATACTAAGCGGAAATATATAAAGGGCGACAGGCAATACCCTTGAGAGAAAATTGTGAGGCACGCTTGACAAAAAATGTATCACTCGGTGATCGATGAAGGGCCAGCTAGCCAGGTAGCTTAGCCAGGCTTTCAATAGTTTTTGCTGCAGTAATGTTCCCGCCTACACCAGATATTCCCGTCAGATGTCGCACCAACGCCTGCTAGTGTCAGCCAGTAATGTTTCCACCAGCTGTTGTGTCAACGCCAGCTTGTGTCAGCCAGTAATGTCAGCCGGCAGGTGTCTCGACCTTCAGGTGATAGGTGGAGCTGTTTCACTATTCATTATGGTGGACGGGGTACTCGTCAAGCCTCTCCTTGCGTACCTTTTCGTTGTGCTTCATGTAACCACGTTACAGTGACGAATCTCGTTCGCTACTATTCTAATATTTTAGTGTTTTCACGCAGAAATATTGGCAGCAATGGATTATTTGCGTTGAAGCACCAAGCTGACTGACTCTGCGCTGCTCTATTGCAGACATTGCCTTCTATAGTCCAGTCCTTTAATCCTATAATGCGAGTATTTATCGATTCTCGCGCTTGTTGCATTTATAGATATGCAAAAGAGTTTGGCATCGCACATGCAGCTATTTGATGCCCCTCCTTTGGCCCAGACGAAAGACACCCGTCGGTTTAGACAACTGTTACCCGCATCATCTGACAAGGCAGTTCGACGTTCGTAACAATTAATGGCTTATCTCACCTACGTACAACAGTGATGGGGTGTGGTGGACCCCTACCAATATATGTTGAGTTGATACATAAAATTGTATGTTTTCGCGTTCCCTTTACCATATGAATATTCCTGAACATGACGTGTTGACAAAAGTTGAGATAAAATGGAAAGATTAAGTGAACTAGTGTTTCTTCGCCCAATTGTTGGTCAAAGAATTTATATTGTGGAAACTATCCATAAGAAAATTTGACAATTCTAATACTGCTGCTATGATCAATTCCATGATTGAATCAACCGCGGTATGGTTACTGAGACCATGATACTGAAACTAATTTACTGACCAAACAGCATCTATACTTTAAATACTATTATAATTTAAAACTAAATTAATCTCTCACTGCATATACACAATTATACTGGGTTTGTATATTTTGTATATATATCTATTAAATGTATTTGTTTGTCTCTGAATAAGAAACAGCTACTCGGAACAAAAGTTTCAAGTAGCACTGGCTATAGTAAGTCCGTAGCACTAACAGAATTGACAATTTTAGTAAAGTCTAGTAAAACCAAATAATCACTAGACTGCTGACTTGCCTAGATGAAGATTTGTTTCACTGGCAAAAAGAGGGAAGTTTTTATATGTAATTTCACGAAAGGGAGACTTATCTATTTAAAATGCTACATTAGCCTGAGGCCAGCGGCTACTGGTCCCATATATCATCTGTCGATTCACGCTTTAATTGGTATATGTTTTTGTGTAGATGCCGCATTACAACAGAGGCAGCTACGCGACAATTTTATTGCATGTTCACCTTGATCCAATTAATTTATACCCCCTCCTCCTGAGGCTGTCACACATGAACACGAGTCAAAATGTCACTCATTGCCCAACAACAGCATCCAGCAGCGACTTCACAACACATCTAACCCTGAATAGAAGAGTTGAAATGGATTAGAATTTGGGCCTCTTTTTAGGTAGGGCTCAATTCCGTATCTAAGAAGACGTCTTTTAAAAATAATAATGATATAAATGGAATCATTTATTAGATCCAATCGATATCTTGCCAAGGCCGACGATATCGCCTCTACCGCTGGCTCCTGGTCCAACAACAGATGTCTCACGCCTCTACCACTGTTTCCTGGTCCAACAACAGATGTCCAACGTTTCTACCACTGTTTACTGGTCCAATAATGGATATCCGACGTCTCTACCACTGTTTCCTGGTCCAACAACAGATGTCCGACGTCTCTACCACTGGCTTCTGGTCGAACGACAAATGTCCGACGTCTCTACCACTGTTTTATGGTCTAACAACATAAGTCCGACGTCTCTACCACTGGCTCCTGGTCGAACGACAGGTGTTCTACACCAGACAGCACCATTAAAACCCGCGGTGAGTCCACAGATTCTTTGTGACATTGTAAAGAAATTACATCAACACACAAAAACTTAAGAAAGGACATGAAACATCCTGATATTAAACCACAAGAACTAGAATCTGGAGCAATGAGTTGAACTGCACTCTCAATATTTGATGCGTGTTTACCTTAGTTATAAAGAACACTGGACATTGGACTAGTCGATAGAACAACAGCATGGCTTCGTGCAGGGTCGGTGTTAGATCCCTGATGGTCCAAGTAGTTGGGTACCGTTAATTCCCACCTTCCTTATATCCCAGTTAATTTGTCATTTCCCAGCTCCTAGTCAGCCCTTATATCTCTCCTTCTTGTCCTCATAACACAGAACTCAAAGTCCTCACATTTTACTTTCTTGTCCCCATATCATAGGGTTCTAAGTCCTCACATCTTTCCTTCTTATTCTCGTATCACAAAATCTTAAGTCTTCATTTCCCAGCTCCTAGTCAGTCTTTATATTTCACCATCTTATCCACATATCACAGAGCTCTAAAGTCGTCATTTCCCTTCCAAGTGCTCAATGAAGTCAATGAAGCTATCTCCTCCACCCTATAATTACCTTCTTGCTTCTTCTACCTTGCCGTCAGGTAAGCGGAAGAAGGATATCCTCCTACACAGGTGTTAAATCTGGGAAGTTAAGGCCTGGGTGGGGTCCAGTTCTTCCTGTAATGAAGACCGTGGTAAACACTCGTGACGTCATCACCCAGCTGGGTATATATACCCGGGACGGAGCCAACGAGGGCATTCACTGCCTCTCCAGCTCTACCATCATGAACGCTAAGGTAACCTGATTTTTACCTAGTGAACGAAGATTAATGAGACTATAATGGAATTATCGAACAGTAACCAGAGCAAGGCCATATTTTCAAGGCGTAATATTGTTATATTATAGATTCTATATCTTTGGAGAGTAAACACATTCTATTGTGGTAATTTGTGATTCTCCTAATATTGGAGATTAATCGATACATTTATGCAATTTCTCAGATCGTGTTGTTGTTGTGTGTTGTGGCGGCGACTGTTGCAGACAAGCGTCCTACCTTCTCCTACGCCGCCCCTCAGGTAATATCTCTTACTTGGAAGACATTAGTAATATTATGCTACCCTTCAGGTAGTATATCTCACCTGTGAGACCATTTTAATATTTATAACAACTTTTTGGCCACACAAAACTATTACACAATGAATATTGACATGTTGCTTTGTTTGTAAACTTTGCTGTTATCAATCAAAACACGTCATACATCAGTCATATAATAAACCAACAGCTACATATGAGAGGACTTCTTTATATATACTCAAACAGTGAATAATTCCATTATGTGTGTGCTCAACCGTTGGTTGGTCCTATTGTTTAAAAGTATTACTATAAAATCAAAAATTTTTGCATTCAACATATAGTTTTATCTTTTGCAGGAATCCAGTGAGTCTGTGGAAGACTCTGAAGAGCCCTCCGAGGCGAAGTACGACTTTAATTGGGCCGTGAAGGATGACGACTCCGACAACGACTTTGGTCACCAGGAGTCCCGCGACGGTGACAACACCAAGGGGTCGTACTACGTGCAGCTTCCCGACGGTCGCCTGCAGAAGGTGACATACTACGTGGACGGTGACTCAGGCTACGTGGCCGAGGTCACCTACGAGGGCGAGGCTCAATACCCAGAGTCTGATGAGTCTGACGAGTCTCTTGAGGCTCCCGTGTATGCTCCACCAAGAAGGTCTTATTTCGCCCCAGACTCAAATGAATCAAAATAAACCCCGATGTTTAACGTGTCCAAGATCACCTGGCAGATGTGCCAATGGTACAATTTTTCCAGTTTTCTCCAAGAACTTTGTGCTCAACTGTTCCTCGGGAATCATCGATAACAATCCTCTTCTTCAGCAACATCAAGTCTTTTGTTAAGTGTACAATGTGCTCTTCAAAATGCCCATTATAGTTTTACTATTAGTATACCTACAATGACTTATCATTGTTTTCTTATAAATTATTGATATGAGTAACTATTTATTTATTTTAGAAGTATTTTAATAAATATTTTTACTGAATACGATTTTCTCTTTATATCTTATCTTACGTGGTGTTGTAGTGCAATTTGGTATGGTTTGTTGTTGTTGGGCTTAAGGCTTATCAACCTCTCGATGGTTATTAAGGCCAAGGCAGTAAGGTACTTCCCAATCAGCAAGTAACTTGGGCTTTAGGTCTATCAATTTGGCGTTGGGCTTATCAACGTATGGAAGGTTATTAAAGCCCCTATAACATGTTTTAAATTTAGCTACTAGGAACAAAATGTTCCAAGTGAGCCCGTAGTGGACTTACCTGGCACCGTAGCGGGGCTGTATGCTTCTTAATGATGAATTATAACAGCTTACTGACCTTCCAGCATGTTTTTTGTTGACATAATGTCTGTTAACCTACGGAGGGCTATTAAGGTCACAACAATAGCTTACTGACCAACTAGGAAGCTTTGTTTTTGTACTAAAGTTCAAAACTGAAATATGCTCTTTGTAAATTATGAGAATTAGTAAACAGCGTCGCCCTTGGGAGCGAGAATGTCTCAAGCAGACACCCATAACATCAAGATAAACCCCGCTTGTGTTCAGAAATATGTTTGTATTTTCATTGCGCTAAGTTGAAACCTTTTCTTCTGGGTATCCATATTAATGTTGATTTTTTTTTTTTTTGCTGATGACTTCTGACCCCTGTTAGCGGGCCAAGAGTTTACCCTTCCAATAACTCATGATAAGGCTTTACCTTACTAATTTCCCCTTGAACACGACCCACCAGTCGACTAACAAGCAATTACAGCTGGGTGAACAGGAGACGAACAGTTAAAAACTGACGCCCAGTCAATCAATTCTGGCGAAGATTCGAACCCAGACTAAATCTAGGAACGGGGCGAGTGTATGACACAAGAGTCACTATTGAAAGCCTCGAGACAAATAAGGTTCCCGTGTGACTTCATCTGTGTTAATGCATCTTTTGTCAAGTCGCATAGCATGATCCATCACCACGTACACACACGGAAGTGAACGCAGAAGACGCTGAAGCCACGGAAGAATAGTCCGGAAGGTCGTCATCGACGCCTGTCTGGACTACTTTTTCTGAGTGAGTTGTTGACACTGAGAAAAAACAGGCAAGTTGAGAGCAGAGTCGGACGCACCATCAAGGTCCTCCGGGTGCAGGTAAGCATAACAATAACAATAATAATAAGCTATCCCATAAGCCTGGAACCTTGATGAACGTGTAATCATTATTGACTTTGAAAGAAAGCTTTACAGGTGAGAGATTTTGACAACGATTCTCAAACGTAAACAAACCTCTCTAGGGAGAACAGGAGCACATGCGCCAAGACCCACCAGCAGAGGACCTTCACCTTGGAAGCCACCAACAGAGACAGTAGACACCACACCCAGCACCAACAACAGAGGCAGCAGCCACCACACCCAGCACCACCAACAGTTATAAACCAAATAAGATTATCACCGAGACTTCAGAGCGCAGTACAGACTGTTAAACAGACTGGACATGAACTTACTGAAGCCAACGTTCGGAACATAAACACTCATTCACTGTTTAAGTAAGACAAACATTAGCAACAGTCGGCCAGCCAGAGGCTTAGAGCACGCGAAAGAAAATCCATTAAAAAAGTTGATGTACTCACTAGCTGCCTTGCCAACATAAATTCTCGAAATATTTATTTCTACAGATATAGGTTCTCTATTACGTTAAAATGATCTAGAATATTTTTTAAATTCATAATTAGATTCCAACTAAAAAAAAACATAGCAAAAATGATGAAAAAGTTTATTATGGCTTTCAAAATCCTGCCTCCCAATACATGCAAGTTCCAAGGGCCCGATGTGGCCGCGATCATGGCTACCTGTTTTAAACTTTTAGTTGAATGTCAACACTGAACACTGAGGAAGGAAAGTGGCCTCAGCATACGAGATAACCTCACACAACGTTTGTCCTTAAAGACTGTGCATATGCCATTTACACATCCATTCCTGGCAACATAAGTGGGCTTCGCTCTCGATTCACAGTCGGGGGATTAAATGTTTGATTTTTGAATTGATAAACATTGATATATATATTATTATTAGGAATGCCTGCATCATGGAACCCCTGGAGAAGGCCAATATTGGGGTCAGGGACCCCCAGACGAAGGCCAACATTAAGCTCAGGGGAAGACCAATATTGACCTCAGGGAGCCCCAGGGGAGGACCAATATTGACCTCAAGGAACCCCAGTGTAAGACTAATATTCCTCTCAGAGAAGCCCAGCGGAAGGAAAATAGGAAGCACAGGAGATAAGCCAACCCCCAGCCGACCAGGAGGTGATTGTGAAACATTTCATCAACCCAAGCTTCTGTACTCGACTCTGAAGGTAATTACCCCTTTACTTCCTCAGCACGACGGGTTTTTGTTAACATGGATAGATTGTAAAAGCCAACTCTGATCCAATTTAAAATTAAATTATTTTTCGATCATAAACAGCTGTGAAAAACTGGTGATCATAATAGAATAACATTATGTCTATTGGGAGAATACATTTAATGTGTATGCTGAACAGTAATCTTTGACGAGTGTATTTAACTATTGTATGATGTATTTGACGAGTGCGTTTAAATGTTGTGCATACAACAGCTGCCTTGGACGTATGCGTTTAACTGGTGCAGGTCATATTGACCTTGGCCGAGTCAATACCAGGGCGCTAAAAACATTTATTTATGGCCAATATTGAATGAATTAATAGTAATACAATCCTAACCTCAAATGCCTTTTAAAATGCAATAACTAAACTCACATTCAATACACTAGAAACAAAATATATCGTTTAAATTTCAAAAGTGATGTTCGCCTAGAAATAAAAAATAAAGTGTGATTTAGACAATTGTAGTAGGTTGTACTATAGGGAAGGTCAGTAGTTAAAATAATAATAATAATAATAATAATAATAATAATAATAATAATAATAATAATAATAATAATAATAATAATAATAATAATAATAAATTGTCATCCACACTTCCGTAGAAATAAATATTTCATTCATCTGTACTCAGAAGATATGAACCATGGATCCCATGTCCATTAAAACTACTCATAGCTGAGTGGATAGAGCTTCTACCTCATACGCGAAGGGTTCGAGTCTCCTAGAGCCCAGGTGAATGAAATAATAAGTGTATTTAGGTAAAAGTACATACAAACACATTACAAGCAGAATGTTGGATTTCTGAACAGTGGTCGTATATACTATGCCTAAAACTCCTAATACGCCCAGCGTTTCGGGCGTATTAGTAGTCTTCTAATACGCCCGAAACGAAATACGTCATCTTCCAAGTTGACGTTGGAAGTCCTAGGCTACTTGCCCCGACAATGACAAACTAAATTTTAAGTAAGTAGCACAGTTAAGTTCGTTCTCGACTCGCAATCGTGTGATGGGGATGATAGATATGAACTTATAGCTAGTTTTTGATGTACACTTTGTAATCTTTCATTTAGAATAAGGCAACAGCACATTGCTGTGTATAACTAAGGTTGTCAATAAAAAAAAAGGATATTCAGGGTTCGAATCCCAGGCGGAACAGAAATTGTTGGATACGTTTCCTATTACCTGATGCCTGTGTACACCTAATGCCTTTTCGCTGTTAAAAGGTACCCGGGAGTTAGGCATCTGTTGTGGGGTTGCATCCTGGGGATAGTCAGTAGTTCCACCCTAGAGAAGACCTAGATATAAGTCTAACATATATATATTCCCAGGCTGCCTGTCATCGACAAAATTAATTATTGAAATGAATTATAAAGTGCCCTTCATGCTAAAATTAAGAAGTCACTCCAAAAGTAGGTAGCGTTTTCTTCTATACATATGTAACTGAAAAAATTATAGCGATAACTAAAATAAACCTTCAATACTAGTGTGATGGTTTTGTCAGAGAACAGACAGTCTGTGAATGTATTTAGTTAGACTTATATCGAGGTTTCACCCCCGTAAGGCCGAACTACTGACCCTCTGGAGGATGCAAATCCAAAACAGCTGAATAGTAGTTCAGTCGGGTTCGCTCTCGACTCATAATCGAGACTTCCGAGTTAGAGTCCCGGGCGGGACAAAAATGGTTAGGCATGTTTCTTTACACCAAATGCACCTGTCCATCTAGCAGTAAATATGTACCTGTGAGTTAGTCAGTTTGTTGTGGGGTTGCATTCAGGGGAGGGTCAGAAATTCGACCCTGTGGAGGACCTCGATATAAGCCTAACATGTACTGCATGTATAACCTGGCTTCCTGTCCCTCGACGCAATTAATTATTATTAGTTCGCGGAAAATAGGTAACTATTCAACTAGAAGTAAAGAGTTACCTATTCACTACGAGGTGAATAGGCTCATTAGGTGAAAGGAAATGTGCCCATTGCTCCATCATTTCTCTCGTGCCGATGATTTAAGATTACTACAGAGACCCTTATTCATATGTTTAAATACTTTTGTTTGTATTTATTTGATTATTATCAATATTTAAATATAATAATAATACATTTTTATAATACAATTTTAAATTAAGTATTTAAACGTAATAAATATAATAAATCAAAATCAAAATAATAATAATTATTAATTTTTATGTAAATAAATAAATAAATAATAAATGTTTATTTAGGTAAGGTACATACATACAAGAATTTTTTACAAAGATTGGTTGACTTATAGGTAGAGCTAGTACATACAATGCCTGAAGCCACTATTACGCAAAGCGTTTCGGGCATACATTCAGGGCAAACTATATGTATTGGAAAGGATATGCTTAACTACAATTTTACTTGTGTATTTATATCTTAATGTTATCATTATATTTATAAGACATTAAATTAGGCAAAAGGCGTATATAGGCTCAATAGTACAGTAGGCTCCGTTGTCTAATCACAATCGGGAATCCCGTGCGTGACAGAAATGGTTGGGCACGTTTCCTTTCAGCAAATGCCTTTATTCACCTAGCAGCAAATAGGTACCCGGGAGTTAGTTAATTATTGTGAAGTTGCATCCTGGGGAAGG